GGATAGTTCATCTAGCAGTTACTCCTTGACTAGTTCAACTTCTGCTAGTGTTAACCAGGGCTGTAAGTAATGCTCTCGTGTGAAAGCAGATTCTCAAGTAAATACTGCTACTGTAACTTCTGAGCGTTGGGTGGTGGACTCGGGTGCCACTCATCATGTCACTCCAAATAGAACAAATCTTGCAAATGCCTCTGACTTCCATGGTCCAGGTAAACTTACAGTTGGTAATGATGTTTCTTTAGACATTCGAATGGTTGGTTATTCGATCTTACCTATTGCATCTAGAGTGTTAATGTTGCATGATTTGTTGCATATTTCTCATATAACAAAGAATTTGCTTTCGGTCTCAAAACTTGCTAGGGACAACAACATATTCTTTGAGTTTCATGTCAGTAGCTACTATGTACGTGATAAGGTTACTAGACAGGTGCTTCTGACTGGTGAGGAGTCTAGAGGGCTTTACTCGTTTGTGACAAGTAACATTGGAAGAGAAGACATGTGTACTGTTGTTGATGTTAGTTTTGTTACTAAAATTGTATCTAGTGAGATAGAGGAATTGTGGCATCGAAGACTTGGTCATCCCTCTAGTGACATATTAAGACAAGTTACTAAAGAACTTGATATAAAAGTTACCACAGATGTAAATAAAACATGTACTGCTTGTCATATGGGAAAAAGCCACAAATTACCTTTTATGCAATCAAATACATCCTATGATACTCCATTTCAACTTATCTTTACTGATTTATGGGGACCTCTATATGTTTCCTCGAATGGATTTAGGGACTATGCTTCCTTTGTTGATGCATGTACTAGACATACATGGATTTATCTTCTAAAAATAAGTCTCATACCACTGAAGCTTTCTTGTTGTTTCAAAGAATGGTGTTAACTCAATTTGGTGCTTTCATTAAAGCAGTTCAGAGTGACTGGGGTGGTGAGTTTCGCAGTCTCTCACCACTACTAATCAAAACTAGTATTGTTCACAGACTATCATGCCCTCACACATCCGAGCAGAATGGGATTGTTGAAAGGAAGCACAGACATATGGTTGAAATGACACTTATGTTACTGGCATATGCAGCTCTACCAATGGATTATTGGTCATATGTTGTTATTTTTGTTGTTCAATTGATAAACAAATTGCCTATTAAGGTTCTGTATGGGGTCTCTTATAGTGAGAAGTTGATGGGGAAGAAACCAAACTATAATGACTTGAAGGTGTTTGGTTGTCAGTGCTTCCCTCACCTGAGATCTTTTCAAGCTCATAAACTTGCATTTCGCTCTCGGCCATGCACATATCTTGGTGTCAGTCCCCAACATAAATGATTTCAGTGCCTGGCAGCTGATGGGATGGTCTATATTTTTAGACATGTAGTTTTTAATGAAACTGTGTTTCCTTTTGCAGGTAGGCTAACTTTAGTTAAATCACACGTGGTTAAGAATCAACAGTCTCAATCTCTTGAGATTGTGAGTAACATGCAACGTGTACCTATACAGCAGCTGGCTCATTCTGGTACTCAAGGCAGTACTGAGTCGGGATCAACATTACCTTACAACATGGAGGATGTTTGTATGGAATAAGCTGCAGGTGAATCTTCAAGTTTGGATGCACCTACTAAAGCAACTACTGAACCTAGTCTCGGGAATGATCTTGTAGAAGAAGCTGTGGAAGATCCTTCTAGCCTAGCTGCACCTAACAATATTACTGTTGAAACCAGTGCCAATACTGAAGCCTCTCCTGTTGTTGTTGTACCTCGTATGAATAGCCACCCTATGCTCACAAGAGGCAAGTGTGGTATTTTTAAGCCTAAAGCTTATTCAAGTCACTTTGATAAGGATGTTCCCTCAACTGTTGATGAAGCATTACAGTCTCCAAAGTGGGTTACTACAGTTCAAGAAAAGTTTGATGCTCTCAAGAGAAATGGAACTTGGATACTTATTAAGCTTCCTCTAGGCTGTGTTGCGGTAGGTTGTAAGTGGTTGTTTAAAGTAAAACGTAATCCAGATGGCTCAGTTCACAAATACAAGGCACGACTAGTTGCAAAAGGATTCTCTCAAGTTCCTAGGCAAGACTATCTTGACACATTCAGTCCTGTTGTAAAGTTTACAACACTTAATGTTGTCTTTTCCATTGCAGTGGCCAATTATCAACAATGCCTTTCTTAATGGAGACTTGAAAGAAGCAGTGTTTGTGCAACAGCCACAAGGATTCGAGCAGATAGCAGTTGATGGTGTGTCTCTTGTATGTCAATTACAGAAAGCATTATATTGGTTGAAGCAAGCTCCCCGTAATTGGCATGCTAAGTTAAAAGATGTGTTGCTGCAAATTGGATTTCAAGTATCTCGAGCTGACACTTCCCTATTTTTATAAACACAAGTGCTGAGCGTGTTTATCTTCTGGTCTATATGGATGACATAGTCATTACAGGTTAACCAACTTCTCTTATTGTCAATGTTGTCTGCATGCTGCAAGACACTTTTTCCCTTAAAGATTTGGGGTCCCTTAGCTATTTCTTGGGAATTGAAGTAAAACGGAGTAATGGCTCTTTTATGCTTAGTCAAAAGAAGTTTATCTTGGAGCGTTTAGAATCATCGTGTGTAACACCTATGGTTTTTGCACCTAAGTTAGCTGAGGATTGTGAATTACTGGTTGATTCTACTATGTATCGATCCATTGTTGGATCGTTATTATATGTTTGTCATACCAGGACTGAGCTTGCTTTCAGTGTTGGAAAGGTTTCTCAGTTTATGCATGCACCTCATGAAAGTCATCTAGTGGCAGTGAAACGCATTTTGAGGTATCTTGCAGGAACTGTGGAGTATGGTTTGATGTTTTTGCCATCTAAATCGAGATTCACAATTTCAGTATTTGCTAATGCTGGTTAGGGTGCAAATGTCACTGATCGTCGATCAGTTTTAGGTTATGGAGTGTTTCTTGATAACCACTTAGTTGCATGGAGTTCCAAGAAACAAAATTATGTTTCACGATCAACAATGGAGGCTAAATATAAAAGCCTAGCTGATGCTACTGCAGAAGTTACTTGGGTAAGCACAATGATAATTGAACTTAGGTTGAAGCATCATGGGAAATCAGTAATCTGGTGTGATAATACAGGGGCTGTGGCAATGAGTGCTAATTCGGTTTATCATGCACAATTGAAACATGTAGATCTTGATGTGCACTTTATTCGTGAAAAGGTGGCAGCTCAACAACTATGTATGAACTATGTGCCTGCAGCTCATCAAGTTACAGATGGCTTTATTAAACCTTTGGCTAAAGCAGCATTTGAAGTCTTTCGAGAGAAGATTGGAGTGCATGCATGTTCAAGACCAGAAGAACAGAAGAAGAAATAGAGGGAATGTTAGCATAATGAGTTGGTGAGCATCAATGATTGTGCTCTAACGTTGCTCGAGCTCAAGCTCATTTTGCATGATGTTAGCATAATAACTAATAGATTCTAGAAGGTTGTTAGTAGTAGTTAAGGTTGTTAATGATTAGTTATAAAGTCTGTTAAGGTTATAACAACCATGGGAGTTGTATATAAGCAGCAGAGGTTTTGTAAATCATTCCATGTATTCATTCACTAATCAATATACAATAATTCTTCATTTCTTTACTAGATACTTAATAGATAATAAGGATAATTTGAGTGTTATATATATATACACACATGCGCACATATTGTGAATATTTTTTAAAATAATTCCTACTTAAAGAGAGAAATTGGAGAATTTTACTCGTATTAGATATTAAATTTACAACCTAAGCTTTTAATTATTAGTCTAGAGATTATTGACATTAAATATGGAATTTTAACTATAAAAAATGCTATAATGTAATTATGAATGTTAGAATTTAATGATTTAGTGATACATGAATGAGATATGGAGAAGCAATATAAAAGAGAAAAGAAGAAGAAAGGAAATAGATAGTAATATAACCAACCAGTTTCACACGTACACCTTCAATTACAAAGTGTTCATTATGAAAAGAGAAAAAATGGTCGTCATAGTCAAAACGAGATAATTATTCAACTAGAAAACTCCCCTATAAAGTCTAATGATCTCGTCTGGGTCCAGGTTGTTCTTGTTTAAAGAAATTAATTAATTTTATATTTTGAAAATGTATTATAATTTTTATAGATAATTGTTGAGTTGCACCCGAAAAATAAAAATAAAAATCCAAATTTTAAAAATAACATTGTTGAAAGTATATTTTTTTAATTTAAGAATTATTTTTTGATATTCGCCAATTTAAATCTAGTGGAGGCTCAACTAATAACTCTATCATGGAACAAGTATAATCAAAATGAAGAAGAAGGTGTGACCCGATCTTGGTACTTGGCCTTAACAATAAATGAAGAAAGTATAATCTTCCTTTTCAACTTCAATGAAGATGGTGATTAACTCAAATATACATAAATCCCTATAATCAATATAAACTAATTGGTATTGGGGAAGGTCAAACATTAAGATGCCAAAAGAAAAGAGCCACTTTAAAGTTTGAAGTGGTTCACATTCTCTGCTTACTTGGAGACTCGAAACAGTGTTTTCGATGTTGCTGTTGTACCACCAAATCCAAAATATATGACAGTTGATGATGAGGAGATCAAATTGACAATTTCAACCCCGTGCCATAATCCCATTGTTTTTTTCATGTTATGAAAACAAAGTCATGCAGGTGAAGTAACAAAGAAAGTTGGCACTTGGAATTGTTAAAAGAGTGATGGATGTTGTTAGTCTCATCTACATGCACTAGGATGGTTTTAACTACTTTTACAAAACACATCACCAGCTCTACCATCTCCACGTCTTCTTCCAAATTCAAACCCTACTTAACTACAAACAGTTCATTGTCACTTGTTTGTTAAGTTTCTGAATGGAAACTAATAGGATCTTTTTTTCACGCAAATAATGCAGGAGTTAAACAAAGAACAAATCAGACAAAAGCATCAGCCCTGATCAAACATGAACTTGAAACTATATCAAAAGGTTTTAAAACAACATCAACGAAACCCAACTCAGGATATGTTTCCATACCCAAGAATACTAAAAAGTTAAAGTAAAAGCACACCCCAGAATCTGTATGCCATTAGAGAAAGAAAAAGAAAAAGAAATCAAATGGCTATTAGCCGTACTTTTCTTTCATTTACAAGATTCTCCCTCAACTCATGTCCTCAAGTTGAACTAGATTAAAGCCAACCCAACGACAGCAGCGGGACAGACAATAGATGATGCGACTTCGGATATGTGAGGCTCAAAGCTCTATGGGCTTTTAGTACAGAGAAGGAGAAAAATTGAAACTCCGTTTTAGAGTTATTAAGCTGTCTACCTTTGGACGTTTGCACTATGGAGGAGCGCCATAACCTGGAAGATCAGTCCATTGATTTGGATTCAGAGAAAAACCTGCTGTGTTGGTGTTTGTGTTCCAAGGGCTGCTTGTGCTGCTGCTGCTGTTGTTGATACTCCACACCGCCAATTCAGAGACTGTAGGGTTACTGTTGTTGAGGAAACTTTGATGCCAATTCTGCTGAGAAGAGTTACCTGCAGCAAGCCTGTTAGACTGTATCAACCTTTCTTGATCAGATGGGCACATGTTTACAGCCCTTTGATCTCTTTCACCCATAGGAAAGAATTGGGTTTGCTGAATTGACTGATGCTGTTGTGACCCAAAAGAAGCGACACCATATCCCTGCAAAAGACCCAAATTTGAAGAACCACCCAAGTCACCACCAATACTTAGCGCCTGATTGAGAGGTTCATTAAAAGGTTGCGGTAGGTTCATCGACTGAATTGCGGCCAAAGAAGACAAGAACCCAGCATCAGGGTAATACGATCCCACTGAAGAAATAGCAGTTGATGAAGAGAAACCACCAGATTCCTTGGTTCTCAAAGCAGCACTTACGCTGAGCATAGGACTAGAAGAGATCATACTTTGCGGTGATGCCAAGTTCTTCTGCTGAGCTTCTTGCTGCTGAGATATATGTGGATGAGACCTTGAGTTTTCACCGGAAGGAAAAACCTTTTTTCGCTTCCCTTTCCTGCAACCACCTCCCACGGGCACGTTCCTTAGGGTTCCACCTTGAGTCCAATACCTTTTACAAGTTTTGCAGAAATAACGAGGCTGCGAGAGACTGTAATTGTTGTAGTAACAAAACTTGGTATTAAGAGACTCACAACGAGGACACTTTTGAGGTGGGTTCTGCTGTTGCTGTTGATTCTCGCCTGTCAACGCCTTCAACCTCTGATTTTTCTGTTGGTTCTGCTTCATGCCTTGTCCACTCCCTCCTCCCCTATCTTGCTGCATCGCTTAATCTATATGCTCTTCTTTCGGATGCTGATTTATTAATCCATTTTTCAGTTAATCTGATACAAAATCAAGATTCTGGGTTTACTTGGGCTTTTGTCTTGTTGGGTCTGATGCATGCAGGTATCGATATAAAGCTTTAGAGAGAGAGAGAGAGAGCGTTTCAGATGTAGAGATGTATGATAGCTCTACGTGTCTGTATCTGGCTGTTGAAAATCTCTGCTGCACAAACAAAACCACGGCGATCGTTACTTTGTCTACATGCCCATTTCTCCTACCCACCAACCCGCCTCTACAAAACCATGCTCTTCCCCAACTCTCAATTACTTTTTTTCACCTTTTTTAAGCAACGAAAACCAAACGATAATCAAGAATCTGAATTTATAAGAAATATCCCCTGAAAACCCAACGAAAAATCTTGCAAGATCTCCATCTCCACTAATAATTTATGTTTATACATACACTTTTGAATGTGTAGAAAAGCTGAGGAGTGGCTGACCTGCTTTTACGAGAGAGGGTAAAAGAAGGGAATCTGTACGAGTGTCGGGCGTGGACAAAGTCCACTAAGCCCAGGTCTCAATCTAGAGTTAAGTGAGAGATGTTTTAAGAGGCAAAGAATTGGGTTAGTTTGGGTTCAGTCCCATATCAAACAACGTCCATCCCTGGAACAAAGACAAAACACACTGGTTGCTTCACCCGATAGATCATCATCATCAACGTTATTAGAATTGCATGAAATAAGGAAAAGAAGAGAGAAAAAAAAACCATACAGGCACGCGGAAACCTTGATTCAGTAATCTTTAATGTGTGTTTTTGGATGACAAGACAAAGAATATGAGTTGTGGCGTAATAAAAGAGAGGGAGAGACAGGGAATTTAAGAGAAACTATAGAGGAGAGACAATGTGATAGGGAATGGACTACTAAGCAGAGGGCAGATAGGCGGCGCGGCCAAAGCAAAGTGTGGCGTGGCGGTCGGCAATGGTGTGGCTGGCTGTGTCAGACCTCAGCTTAACTATACACTGTCTTCTTTCATTTTGTTATCATTTCACGTATCTTTCTCATTCCACTTCACTATTCCTGTCTGAAAAATGTTGCTCCCTCTCAGACTCAGTACTCTATTCTCTATTACTATTACGATGCGTTTGCTTTACGATTGAAAACGGATTTTCATAATTTATTATGTACAATTTTAATTCTTTTGGATTATATTGTATTAAAATAAAAAGTTTTGTTCATATAAATTATTTGTTTTATTTTTAATTAAATAATTAGTAATACAAATTTATAATTTTATATTAATTTAATATTTAAAAAATATTATGTATGTTAAAGTAGTATTTTAATATTTAATATATTTCATTAATGTTGTATTTATAATGTTTTTAAAATTGTACGATGAAACTGTATGTTGCTTGGCACTGAAATATTTAGTAATTATTATTAGTATGATTTTATTTTTTGTATTATTTTTATTAATCCATTAATATCTTATTAGAGGATTATGCTGCCTTTTGACTCGAATCTTTTCCCTTCTTTTTTTAACATGATTTATGAATCAAGCTGCCTACTAATTAGAATTCGATTTTATTTAATTTTTTTATAGTTTCGATTCTATTTAACGACATTGGTGTGTTAAGAGCAAATTAAATTTATTTTTTATAAATAAAAATTTAACTAATCATTAGAATAAATATAAATTAAGCTGGCATCCAATAAATTAATCTGATTTCAGGTACGCGGAATTCGTAATACACGCAATCTCCTAATGACTTTGCTAAAGGTAGATTCTTGACATATACAGCACATTTTCCATTGGCAAAAGTCTAGATATATATATAAAATAATTTGAAGGAAGTGGAACCAAAGAGATGGCTAGTTAAGGCCCATGTGTTTGAGAGTTTAGTCGTGTGAGTGAATGAGCCAATGTGTCTTCCTCTGGCCTGTCTTATTTTAGGCCACTTCCACTGGGAGCTTTTTCATATTGACCGAAGTAGTTTGAGTAGCCATTTTCTGCTATGAACATGGCTGCATGCCATTTACCAAGTAGCCCTGCCAACAGCCTCAGTTATGATCATGCAAATAGCCCCCCATATACCACAGATATTCAGCCAATGCTACACGGCATACAGTCAGAGAAAGCACACGCAAACATTTTTATCTCTCTCCTTTTACTATAGTTGCTTTGAACTTTGAAACTGTCGACCATTTTGTTTTGTTTGAGGGAAATATCCCCTTTTAAAGACCAACCTTAACTGGGGATTTTAGAATTTTACTTTTTACTTTTATATTAAATAGTATCATTATATCATATATGTTAATTATTTTTTAAAAGATGATTAATATTAAAATTAATGGATTGATCCAGCTGGTTAGATAAGTGACCAATAATTTAATCCAAGAAAGCAGGCTCTAGGCAGCAAGCAGTATCCAGAAACATGTATCAAAAACATCCATCAGAAATCAGCAGTTTTATTGTTTAACCATACTCTTCTATTTCCCATGTAAAAACAAAAGGATCAAAAGTGCGGCCAACAAGAATAGAGAGAATAAAAAAATGGCGGCATTTTATACTTCAGTCTCGGTTGCATTTCATGCGAGTATAGTCTTATCTATACTTCTATAAACTTTACCACGAAAGGCCGCATCTTGTTTTGAGAAATGCTCTGTATGTGCAAGCAGATGCATGAGTTCTCCTGGAGAAAGAATGCTTACTTCCATATCTTAACGCACTGATCATGGCTAGCGGAGGCAATCATTTCAGTCTGTAGACAATCTGCCAGTGAAGAAATAAGTCCCCTGTGTGCTTCAACCGCAAATGTTTTGTTGCTCTCATTTGGATTCCATAATTCAAGACACTGTTGACAAAAAACAAAATTGATCTTAATTGGAAGGTAGAATGATATTAGCAAAGATTGCAAAAGGATGGCAGAGAGTTTTAAATAAACACTAGGCCAAGACAACATCAACCTATTGAGGCATCAAGACATGATAAACATCTATGTCGAAAAAACTGCTTGCAAACATACGAGGAACAAACAGTATTTTGTAATACTATTCTGAATACATTACCTGGTAGCCACCAATGACCAAGAGTTGAGAGTACGCTGGGTGAAATGTACAAGACTGGAACTTGTTGCCTGTTGAGCGCAATTCATGCAAGCATTCTCCACCAGATACTGACCACACCCGTGCACTGTCTTCACTGATGGAGGCTATATACTTGCCACATGGATCCCAGCAAATTGAAAGAACCTCTTTGTTATGCCCCTGAAAGAATATAACAATCGTTCAGATAAGCAAGGAGACAAATGGACTTTTAGATGCGTGCAAGTTTTGATAACATAGGGAGTGAATCAACCTTCAAACAGGATTGAGGCTTGTTTGTCTCAACATCAATTACATTGACAACATTTCCTGAAGCTGTAGCAACTAACTTTCCTACTCGAGGCTGGAATCGGACTTGTTTAGTAGCTGCCTGCAGTCACCTCGTAAGGAGATTGTGATAAGCGTAAGTGTGGTTATGTTGGAGAACATAGATATCTAGTGGGGTAAGACTAGATGTAAGTTTGTCAATTAGTACTTCAGATATTTGCTAAATGAGTCATGCCATACAAAGAATAATTTGATGTTTTTAAACTTCCTTTCAACATAGCATTTATTTTGTCAAAACCCAACAGGGTGTAAAACTAAATATTCTGAAAATATAGATTTCAACCATTTCTCAATGTTTGCTAAGCATAAGCTGTTCTTCAAGAAGTATGCTGAGCTGAAATGCATAGACAAAAAAGAAAAAACTTTACGATTGATAGAAGCATCACCGGAATTCACCACCTTACGCATTTTCTACGAAAACATAATTAGATATCCTCGTAATTTTAACCTGAGATGATGTATTATTCTCAAGAAACTAAGAAAAAAAAATGGTAACATTTCTAATCTAAATTAGTAGTAAACTAAGATGTCTTTGAGGAATTCTAATATGTATATATTCAGAAGCTGACCTTAGTGACATGAATGCAAGTACGTTGGTTGATATTCCATAATCGCATCTCATTATTACTATCACAGGAACAAAGGAGATCAACCTTTCTAGGGTGGAAATCCAATGACAAAACCTGTTCAGCGTGCCCCACAAGCTTGAAAAGAGATTTGCTTGGCTGCAAAGCAAAGAAATGAAGACATTGTCAAAAGAAAATAAGTGCAGTTTACTAGTCTGCCCATCTAAGCAACAAAAAGAGCCCTGTAGAGGACATTAGTCATACAATAGCCTATCTTCATTCTGAACAAGCAGACAGAAATTTAGCTAATACTAAATAAATATCTGATAAAATTCCAAAAGAAAATTGTTTACTTTGGCAGAATCCCATATTTGGACAGTTTTGTCAAATGAAGATGTTGCAAATATGGTTGAACTTGGTCTAAAACGAACATCAGTAATGAGAAGAGAATGGTCCTCAGAAGTTTTAACAAAATCAAGGGTTTCCATATTCCATATCAACACCTGCCAGAAGAAAACTGCAATTAGCTCTAGAATTGTATAAAAAATTGCTTGAACAAAAAGTTGCATTACAACTTAAAATTACCTTCTTTTCATGCCCCGCACTAGCTAGAAACTTCCCATCTGAAGAAAAATGGCAGCTCAAGACTTTGCTTTTGAATGAGTGGAGGCAACTAACCTCCCCAAATGTAAAGCCTACATCAGTGATGACATAATTTATTATGGTTGCTTCAGTAAAATCTTTACCATTATCTGCCACAACTGCTTCTTCGTGACAGGATCTCATATTATTTTATTATGAAAAATCACAGGATATATATATATATATATATACATTGGTATATACATACGTGCAATAACACAATCTACACCAAGTTTGGTGGAGAAGGACGTGATAGAAAGTTTTCATCGTCCAACCTGATTAAGTGATACAACCAAATATAGTCTTCCCAAGCTATATAACTATTTTTCAGCAATGTAACATGGTTAGGGGAGAGGGCAGACTGCAGAGCATGGTAAAGATTGGAAAGTTCAAACGGTTAAAGGTGGGTTGTACTTGTACCTTTCTATATAGGATAAATTAACCGGTATAAGATCTTCTATTTCCATTGCATCAGTACCCAAGGAGAACTGAATATCATTTTTTTTCTGTTAATCTTAACAGAATTGTGGGTTACCTTTATGTTCAGTTTTATTAGGCCTGATAGAAAGGCGCCTTAAAATCTTGAAAGGAGTGCTTGGATTATCAGCATTATCATCGTCATGGGACAGAAAAGAATCAACGGTGTCATCAACAGGTTTATGCTCCTCAGCCTTGATAAAATCCTGCAGATGAACATTCCATGAAGCAGGCAACAATCATGATGCAAGCAAAAGAAGAAAAAAAAAGATCGACTCAAAGAAGAAGAAAAAGCAATAAGATCATACAAAGTATAGATCAAGAAAATATGACGACATTCTCCACTAACATGGAATAAATCCCCTCATATATCACAGGTCAATGGCAGAGCAAAAGACATCAAATATTTTCTGAAGTTTGATGTTTCTGATCTGCTGTTGTTGAATTTGATAATTTCTTTTTCTTTCTACCCGTCTGATCAAAGAAAATATAATTATAAGAAGATACCATACTATACATGCACATAGACAGAGCTTTTCCAGGATTTTCAACCAAGACGGAAGATTCAATAGCATCAGCATTAGCATCAGCCTTCCTTAAGAATTACTTGTATATTACCTGCAGTTGTTGCAGCAAACTATATTGGTTTTGATGTTCTTCTGTTTGTGCTGTTTGGATTGGCATCTGGTTCATCACCAATCAGTCACTAATGAGAAAATAAGCATGATAATTCCCCCCCCCCCAAAACGAGAGTGAAAGAGCTTCTAACAAGTGAAACCAATAAACACAACCATACAAGTTTTAAGTTGCATGCAATTACTACTGTAAGATCTCTTTTTAATTTATGACTATTTAAAGGAGGATTGATAGCATACATATCATAACATATTACAGAGGGTACCTAGTGACAAATCCATTAGATGCAAAATACATATTATCTTTACCGAAAACAAAATAACAATAATATATAACCATAAGTTTATGTCACTGCTTCAACTGACCAGTCTGTTATTCTCAATTGTTTCTGGCTTAGGAATGATCAGATTATGATAATTGAACTTGGCAGAGCTTCCAGGAAAAGCAGGTGTCAGGTTTTTGGGCATAAGTGACAACCCCTTATCTGATTTCTCTGGTTGACAATTCAATATCTGAAATTGCTGCTGATAGTTTGGTGCCTGAAAGAGTAAATTTAAATTATAACCCAAATCAAGTAAGCAAGCTCAACTACAGAACTGTTAGTGGAACTATAATAAGCAAACTTTTATTTACACTTGGCAGGACTTAAGCATCTACGGTGTCAAAAAGTGTAAAAGTTGGTGTTCGCAAGGCTCCAACAAATATTAATTAACATGCCACTTACATCCAAAGGCAATCCATTCAGTGGTGCTGGGTCGATTGATTCATTCAAGCCTGAAAATATAAAAACCACAACTTTGATATATATATAACATATATATAATTTCAATGCCAAAAAAACTAAAGTAAAGCAAGGCCAATGTTGTGTGCATCTTCTTCTTGTCAAAATAGATCAGATATCCAATATTCATCCCATCTTCAAATATACACAAGTAAAAAAGAGATCATATTTTCCAGCATGAACTCAAACCAGACGAAGGTGCAAGACAACCAGCTACATGAGGCCAAGTCACTGGAAGTTTGCCTTTTTGTGCCCCATAGGGAGTGGTTGAATTGATAGGAAGGGTACTCCGCAAGTTAATGCCTTGATTTTGTTCCTGTAAATTGAAAAGGTTGCTAACATTTAGAGAAAATAATGACAACTAGGTGGTTGTGTTAACAAAGTAAATAGTTTAGATTCTACCCTCTTAACTTGATGCTGAGCAAGATTTATCTGTCGTTGCAGAAGGCTGATACAAGTAAAAATGTGAGAAGATATGAAACTATCATTTACAGTTGAAGCAAATTACCATCTACCAGAATGAATAAACGTATATACTTTTTCTATTAACTTCAAATAGATCTCAAAATGTACCAAAAAAGAGTGAAACAATTTATTAAAAAGCTGAGCATTTCCACAATAAAAATCTTAGCTTTCGTTATATGTTTTTTGTTGGCAGGAGAAATAATGAAGCCAAAGAAACAAGAAACTGTTTGTCAATTATACAAGCTTACATTTCAATAAAAACACATAAATTACCTTGAACTGGACGCAAATGAGTTTGGGAGCCTTGGTTGATTAGTTTCAAGCAATCGAAAGCTGGAATCAGAGTATCTGGGAATAGAAACCAGTCGAGCCATTTGCTCATTTATCATCAATGGCGGTGAAAACATTGGACTGAGATTTTGTGATTGATCTTCCAGTTTTTCAGCCTGAGATATGGACAGTAAGAATACAAGTTTATGAGTTTGCTATAAAAAACTACAGCACAACATGATCTCAAATTCCACAAACAGTCGCCACCTTAGCAGAGGTTTCTGTCTCATAGTGCTCTTGAACCTTTGTTTGCCTAGTGGAAAATATGTCATAGAATAGCGACCACCATTCTTGAAGGAACCCTTGGGGAGAATCAATCGCTGAAAGAAAAAACAACCCTTCTCTCCAATCAACAAATTACACCATATACAACAAATAATCTCAAAAACATTATAAAAGAAGAAGAAGCGGAAACTCCTGATAATTTCATGCATTAATGCTAAAATTCAGAATAAATCCCACATAAAGAGAAACAAAACACCCATTTAACTAGACCAATTGATGATTAATCTTTGTTGTTGCAGAAATATAACGGAAACATAATTGGACATTGATATTGATCTACACATGGATGAGTTTAATCGTATAACCTTCCAAGATATTTCAAATGTAAAATAAAAAAATATACGCCAAGAATTTCAACATCGAGAATCATCTACTGAAAAATTTTAGAATCAGCCATTAAGAAATAAATTTATAAGAGAGGGAGAGAGAGAGAGAGAAATTGAAGAGAGTTAAGAATGAAACGGAGAGAATGCATACCAACTGAACGGTGACAAATACCGGCCTCTTGTCTAAATAGCTCCGCCGTCTCGTGCATATTCTTCTTTATCAAGTAATCGTGCAAGTAAAGGTCCAGTCTGTGTCCCCCAAATCCAACAAACACAACTTCAACTAGTAAACTATATAATCGAAATACAATGAGAGCCATAAAACATAAAAGCAAGCAGAAAAAACTGCAAAGCATATAAACCCACGATCATCACAACGCCAAGAACACCCTTGACCAAAAACAAATACAAGAAAAAGAAAAACTCACATTTTTTCAGCATCCCAATCATCCTCGTCTATCATGATTACTTTCAAAAAGGAAATAAAATCCTTCACTGTCACTGAAAAAACCAAGCCAAAATTGAACCAAAAAAAGAGAAGTCAAAGCATGAATGGGTATTACTTTTTGAGCACAGAAATAAAGGAACGATGAAAACAAGAGCCCCCAAATCAGAAACCGAAAGGGGTTTAGAAAATCAACGAGATGAATAAGAAAAAAGAAACGTATGGGACGGAGAGAGGACACCCGGAGGTAAGCCAACTAAGCAGCAAGTGACAGTACCATGCAAAAAGCAATGGAGAATCAAAATTGAATGAATTAATTGGCCGCTAACAAATAAATTTGGCTTTTTCTATAGAAACTGAGAAAGTCCCTCCTTTTCTCTTTCCTAAGTAGGCCTAGGAGGACATGCCAAGGTCGTCGAGGAAACCGTGTGGTGGACCCTTAAACCCTTTCGGATTTTGGTCAAGAAAAAATGGTTTTTGATTTTCTCTTTGTTTTCTTCTTATTAATTCTTTTTTGGTTTCATTCATTTGATAAAACCGAAATGGCAAGAGCACTTAACTTTAAATTGAAAATAAGTTTTAATTTTTCCCTATGTGATAAGGAGGCTTAAATGGAAGTTTGATTTTTATTTTCTTTTAGGGTTTTTTATACTAAAAGTGAAGTCTTCTTAGTGAAGAAGAAAGATTTTTGGGAAAATTATTGTCCAAGGACTATGAATCATTTTAATATGGCAATAAGTCATAATAAATTTAAGATTAATAATATTCAACGTACTTGCCTTTCATTTTAAATAGTGATGATTAATAAAAATGAATGTGAAAATTAATGGTCTAAATCTTAACATTTTTCTACTAACAATTAATGACCATTACATATTTATTACCATATATAGATGATATATGATTTATCATTTTCCATACTATATTATATTATTAATTATTATGGCATGAGTAATCACCACTGTATTATTAATTGATTACAAAACACTATTATTTACTATTATGTTATACCATCATCATATAGTATGTTATAATACTTTATCTTTAAAATTAGTAATATGTTATAAATCATTTATTAGTCTAATTGTTTTTTACTAACGAAATTTTCAACATCAAAAAATATATATAAGTTAATATATTTCTAAAATTATTAATTATAAAACATGCATCTTGACAATTAAGTTATCGTAGTATGTAATCAAAAGATTAATGGATAATTACGTCTAGATTAAAAGTTGTAGTATGTAATAAATAATTTATTCTTGTGCTATAAATACTGTACTATAATAACATCTTTTTACAATGTCTACTATTATTTTATCAATCATTTATTTTTATTTTAGTTTTCATATATTAATCATAATACTTAACAATGTAACTTTAAATCTAAAGTTTATTTTATAATAATTAATGATGATGATGATGATGATGATGAGATTTAAATCCAAGGGTATGATGATGATTATAATATAAAGTACCTTGGACAATGAAACATGGCTTAATAAGTATCCTCTCTCATCCAATTACAACAAATAGTGCATATATATGGAAAGAAGAACATGCGTCTATGCAATAATTTTATGGTCAGCAAGAGAACACAGGATTAAATTATTTCTGTGAATCCATGGCATCCTCTAAATATGTAATGAATTGTGGACAATCTAAACATGTCCTTACACTTGAACACCTCTCCTGTAGACATTTAACTAAATTTGAACTCAACTGAAGTTTGTGTCCAAGTCTGAGAATCCTGTTAAGAACCCAACCAGAGTTGTGTCCAGTAAGAGTGAGATGGAAAGGATACAGCAGGCTGGGCCAGGCCTACTAAAACTGTGGAAGCAGAAAATAAATATCGCGACATATAGAATGTCAGTCCTCCCAAGTATTACTAGTACTATATAATTTTTCTTCTATGGAATATTATTATTAATTACCCAATTTGTTTTTGTTTAATCTCAATTTTATTTAAAATAGATATACAAGTAGTGGATCATACGTCAATAAACACGAGAAATTACTAATCCTCAAATTTGGGTTCAACTTACAGATGGTCTCTATTGCAATTACCAAACAGAACTTTCAATCAAATGTGTGTAGAAACCCTAATTGTACCATCTCTTATATTTTAAATTGTTTTTCAAAGAGAATATTCAATTAGAAGCGGAACAGGATGAGCTGATTAAACGGACCAAAATTGGTCCATTTTGTCCATTCAGATTCAGTCATATGTAATAGATTTCAATAAAAATGGATGTCACGGATCCATTTTCCAATCGAACTCACAATTAATTAAAAGTAAATAAATTACATAATTTTATTTATGTTAACCACACCCAACTTAGATATTCCTACCGAAACCATAACTGACATAATCTTTTAAATTAATTATTGGGTTTATTTTACTTTAAAAAAATAATTTATTAAAACGATAAATCTCAGTCCCTATGGATTGATTTATTTACTGATTGAAAAATATTTTTAAAAGGACAGAAGCTATTTATATAATGTTATCTTTGTGTTTTTAGTCGGCTAAAAGAGATTAGTATATTTTGGGGTGAGCCAAGTCACTTAATTTCAAAGGTGTGGGCTTAATTATAATTGGTACAGCCGTTGATGCATCGTATTTTGATTGATACGGACGGAACAACTCAAAAGGGCAGAAGAAGTTAAATTTTGAATGGAACAAAAGAAGATATCTTTTGGTTGGGGGTTATGTGAATGTCGTCATCTTTGGAGTTTGACAGTTTGGAAATAAACAAACGAGTGGAGCCACGTTTTTGTCATTCCTTGGAACTATCAGTCAGGGATTAAATGAGAATAATATCATTGTTCAAAATATTAGAAAATTGAAATATCCTTTTTGTATTATTTAAAGAGTATGAATTAATAATATGTGAATGGGTTTACATTCGACCAGTCAATAAAATTACGTTTTAAAAAATTAATATGTAAACCATATGAAAGTCAAAGAATCAATGACATTATTGCTTTAATTTAACCTTCTTTCAGCCTTCAAACGTCATTTTTGTAACAAATGTTGAACTTGAATCCATCCTCGACATTATAATTCTGGACAACCGCATTGCCACAAATAAATTTATGACGCTTCAATTTGAACATTCAAATCTAGTTTTAATAATAAAAGAGAGATGGGTTCATTGTTGAATGCTTGTTTCAAGTTGGTAGTTAACTCGAATTAGCTGAGAATCAGGAAAAACGCAGAGGGCCCGCTTGATCTGATATGATGTAATATATAATTGGGTAAAATGTCCGCGAACAGTGCGCATGGAAGATTCAATATTGCCAATAAAATTAAATGACCCACCAACCCCGCACTGTGTATAAGAGTTGTTCAAAGTTTTTCAAACCAATACCGTATTCGCATAAAACAAACAAAGCCATAGACAAAACAAAACATAACAGGTGACCCCTCCGGGACATGTTCCCTGTTTTTTCTTTCTTTTCTTGCCTTTCATCATCATGATTCATGACATGAGTCCCGCTTTCCCTTCACAGCTGCACTTTCCCATGTCACCATTTACAACAGTTTGCAACTCTCTTTTCTTTTAGTCAACAAAAGTAGGGACTTAAAACAATATTTGAGTGCAAGATTCAAAGAAAACAATTCAGAGTTTTCTTGTAATATTAAAAGTACCCTCTAACTCAGCCAACTCAAAGGAAGAATAAAGATTGAAAATCAAAAGGGGGGTCATTTGCTTTCTCTCTCCTGGCCCCTTCTTATACATGTGGACCCTTTTGAGTTCATTGGCCTAATAAACTACCCTTGTGTGGCCGAAATTGGTACCAAATTGGTCAACAAGGCCACTAGATTTATTGCTTCTCTTATGTAAAATATTACCCCACCACCACCACCCCTTGTGCGAAAATCAAAAGTCACTATAAGTTGTAACTTATAAAATTCAGTATTAGACGTTTGCATTAAATGGAAAAGATTGAAGGGAACAGGTTTCATACCCCAATTAATGACTCGTTACGGTGGATCTACCCACAGACATACAGGATCAATATAGCAGAGTAGACAACCGTAAATCAAGAGTAATTTGGAAGTTGGAATTAAATAAGAAGAAAAAAGCACATAGAAATGGCTGCATCTCTCATAGCATCTATGTTTTGCCTTCTCAAAAGGAGAAAACAAAAACAAAGAGTCAAGATTCCTTGCCCATTTATCTACTCTTTCTATGACAGCTAGCCTCAAAGCTGCTTTAGCCATCGATTTGGTGCAAACAAAGCTTTCTTTTCAATTCAATCTCTCTCTCTCTCTCTCATCTCATCTCATGGCCTCTCTGTTTAATCATCTGCACTTCCTACGATGTCTTCAAAAGCAAATGGGACTGATTTAGGATCCAAGACTCGTTCACTTTACCTTTTGCATTTATTGATAGGTAAATATATTGCCAAGGGCTGCTAAAAAAACAATGATTCACCCCTTCGGTTGAGTTCATAGTCATCCACCACATGCATTAACCACTAAAGTCTCGAATTTTCATTTTTCCTATTGTTTTCTTCACTCAAAAGTCTTGAATTTCAGGCATCCAAACATAAGAAAATATAAATTAAAAGTCAAACAAAGCATAAAGTTTTACGATTGAAGCAAAGATTTTTATCTTCATTCCTTTGAAAGTTTCCGACAACCAACATTACAAATCTTATCTCGTTTTTTTCCCACTTCCTTTCCAATTCCCATCTTCAGTGCCCCAACAATATGCAAAAATCTTACAATAATAACGTTAAAAAAGAGAGAACTAAAAAAAGGTTAATTTATTTTAGTTCAAGAAGTAGAAGAACCTGAAACTCGAGGTGAAGTAACTGGAAAAAGTGGGAGAAGCCTAGGTTCCGAATCTCGCGGCGTAGATGCCGGTGATGGATGCAAATAAAAACCCTTTTCTTTAATTGCTTTCTCTTCAGCTTCCTTATCTAGTGTCGCATTATTATTGGCACAATTTGGGTAGTTTCCAGCTCCAGATCGGTCAAACGGGTCGGATATCAAAGGAGTAACCGGGCTAAGAGCCAAAGAAGGAAAGTCAAGAATGCTGGGGGAGAGTATTTCGGGTTTCCGAGGTGAAAACCCGGCAGTGTTGGAGTTAAAAGCCGGGTTCAAGGGGTTGATTTTGAGATTCTTGAGAGAGCTCCTTCGTTCGTAAAGCCTAAACCCAGAATTCTGCTTATTTTTTGGAAAGGATTTAATGGGAGGGATATGGGTTTTTGGGTTCGGGTTCGGATTTGGATTTGGATCGGATAGAGGGGAAGGAGTTGGTTTGACGGAAGAAGCTAGCTTGGCGGTCTCGGAAGATCCGGTGAGCATCTGGACGACTTGCTTGAAAGATGAAGTGTCCGCTTGGACGAAGGTTGTCGGGTAGGGGTTAGCTGATTCAGATCTGTTGATGGGTTTGGGCTGTTGAGGCGGCGGAGTTGGCGGTGGTGGGCCGATGTTGTTGGTGGTGCTTCTGTTGGGGCTGAGGCTTTTCGGAGATGCAAGGAAACTCGTATTCGAGCTCGGCCTCGGAGTTATCTCCATTAAGGTTTTTTTTTTGGTTGTAGGAAGAACAGGGGAGTTAAAGAAGAATGGAATGGAGAAGGAATTAGGGGGAGAGGTTAAGGACTGACGGAAGACGGAAGACGGAAGGGATTAGATGTGAGGAGGAAGAGCTTTTGGCACTATGGTTTTTGTTTGGTAAGAGATGTTCTGGTGGGGACTTTCGGGGTCTTTTTAGATCCCTCTATTACCGCTTCTCCCAATTCATGGTTCTGTGCTCACGCGCTTCATCATCTCTTAAGGGAATTTTCTTTTATTACCAATAATGTCACCCTTAAATGAATATGGATTTATTCAGTTATTTGCAATCAAAGCAATTAAGTGATTATAATATCATTTAAAGATTAATCTACACAGCTTTCACCAACCTTTCTTGCCCAAACGTCAATTTGATCCGTTCATCACAATAATTAGAGGGAGTTGAACGCACGCTCTAAAACATAGAGTGAGGATCGGAAAGAGAAATGAAGACACGTGGGAACATGCCATTGGTGGTGTGTGGAATTTGAGACGAAAAGTAGTGGGGGCCAGAAGAGAGTTTCAATCAAAGTTTTATGAAACATCGACTCACACAGTCTGTTTGTCTGGCCATGTATAGTTCGGGTAAGATAAGAAAATATACCATTGTATCATAACATTTACATTACTAATGCTATCGTGTAATTTATTACTTATATAAGGATGAAAATTTAATTATAATTTTATAAATCCGTTCTTATCTGTACATGTAAAAATTTATGATAAAAATTAAAAAAGATAGAGAAAAAGACAAAAGATAAAATTATATATTCATCCTTTCATGCATACCTAAACTACACCAAAAACTAAAAAAGAAAAAGGTTGAAATTGAGGGGTGAATCTAATTCTCATGTCTAAAACCCTGGCAAGCGAGCAAGTAAGCAAATGCAGTGCTGTAAAAGTTGCAGACTCAGAAGGGAAGGGACCACGTTAACCCGGATGTGAGTCATGTGACTAGACTTATCCATAATCATATAATTCATATGATTATTTTTTATAATACGAGGTAATAACAGGTAATATAAAATTTTTATTTATCATTAATAATATGTATACAAATTGCTGTCATGATTATATAAACACAAAATCTCTAAAAAATAATAACATCCCTCTTAACTAATAAAGTTACTTGATAGATTCATAATCCATAGTAATTTGCATTGAGTAGAGTGAAATATAAAAAAACTAATTTATATTTTTAGTCAATCCAACCCATTCAAATTATTTTTTTTAACAAATGATAGCCAACTTTTTTAAATGAGAAATAAAGCATAGAAACACAACCCCACAGTTCTCAAAGCCACACTACATATCTATGGAAACGTATGACAGGTTATATTTTGATCATAATGATGATGATGTATTAAGTGTTTATACATCTGAATTTAATTTAATAAAAAAATAAGTAATAAATTTAAATTTTGTAATTTTTATTTAATTTAATATTTAAAAATTTCATTCAATGTTAGTTATTTGTATGAATTATTAATTTATAGAAAAATGGTATGTGAGGCCCTTGTACTTTTTTTTGCTCTCAATGCGGTCCTCAAATTTAGAAAACAAAATCAATGTGACTCTTTGACAAACGATCTCCGTCATTGACCGTTACAATACTGACGTGTCACTTAACGGCGTTAATGTGATGGTCCATTGTGCCTAGTGACGTGGCTGATAATGTGGTAGATTGGCTAAATTGGTTTTTTTTTATCGAGTTCAAACGCCAAAATGATTTTTTTTAAAGTTTAAAGACTTATTTGATTTTTTAAGAAAAAAATACAAACATTTTAAATTCAAAATACAAAAATGTTCAAAAAACTTAAATATCAAAAATTAAATTAAAATTTTAAAAATTTAAAAATATATTATTAATTTTTACCTTGAATTTAACTTGATTTTTTATTTATATAAACATGATCTCATCTATCATGTACAAATTCTATTTTATATATTTACTTATAAGTATCTTAAATTTATAAATGTCTTTCAAATTTTATTTTACTAATATTTTTATAAAATTTAATTAAATAAATATTATAAAGTCTTGTAAAAAATAAAATATAAAGGTTATAAAATTAAAATTTATTAAAAAATAAAAATTAGAAGTTACAAAATTAAATTTATGTATAAATTATCATTAAAATATATAATTAAAAATATAAAAATAATTATACAATTAAGAAGAGAACTCTAATGAATATAACAAGATAGAGGAAAATAAAATTCACGAAAACTTGATTTAAAAATAATAATATGAAAATTGTCACACTTTGTCATTTTTTGTTAAATATAACTCTATAAAGTCAAGGTGGATATTAATTCCATGTGTTTGAGTGTAACATCCCAAATTACGGGTTAGTGACTGAAATGCAAATTTTGAAAGTTTGATGGTCAAAATAAAAAAATTTGGGAAAAGTTTAAAGATCTAAGTGGTATTTTCCCCAAAAAGAATTTATTCCATAAATGGATTTATTTAGTGACCAAGTTATAAGAATTTGAAAGATCGGTGACCAAAGTATAAACTTTGAAAATGTTAGAACCAAAATGTAATTTTAAAAAGTTACAAATGGTCACGAAAATAAGGAAATAAATATATTATTTTCCATTTTTAAATGTTGGAAAATAATATTTAATGGTTTAATTCCATATTTAGTTTGGATTGTTGGATTAAAGTGACTGAATTGTAAGTTTTGGAAATTGTAAGGGTAAAATGATAAAGTGGGAAAATATTTTGTCTATCTTTGACTGTGGAAGATGATAAGGTTAATGTAGCTTGGTATTAATGTAAATATCAAGTTCATTAAGGGTAAATTAGTATAGATGTTTTGAATTCAAGGGTAAATTGATAATTTAGCATTTAATGAATTAAATATTCATTAAATATTAAAGAAAGATGAAGAATTACGAGATGAATTCATTCATCTTCTCCAGCACCAACGTGAGCTTCTCTCCAAAGGAAAGAAAACATTTGTTTTCAATTTTGAGCTAATTCCTTTGGAATTCGAGTTATGTCGTGAAATAGGAAAGTGATCTACACGAAAAATGCTATTATTTTGTACCAATATTTCTTTCTAATCTTGTTGGATTTCAAAGATCCCAAATCTAAGGGTTTATGTTCATGATAGGATTCATGAAATTGATGTTAAATCTTGATGATTTAGAGGTTATAGATCCATTTTCAAGCTTGACTCATGGTTAGAACATGTTCAATCTTTCTAGAAATTATTCTTTGAAAATTTGAACATGATGAATTTGAGTGAGAAAAATTATGAAAAAAATATATAAGGTCTAGAAATGATGTTGGGAGTATTCTACAAGCTTTAGAAATTTTAGGGACCATTATGTAAATTTTGAAAAGTTAGGGGACCAATTCATAATTTTTGGAAAAGTTGGTGTAAATATTAAAGGAATTATTAAGTATTGTATTTTGATAGAAAATGCGTTTCAAGTATATTATGGATTTGTTGTGGGGATATGTTTATGTTAGTACAATACTAACATATGTATTGTTATGAAATTGTGATTGTACAGATTGTGATTGATTGTGACTAAGACAAGTTAATGATAAAAGGGTTGTTATGGATTATATTGAGGAACATCGTTTGGATAAATAAAGTGTCAAGGTGAGTGCAAGTTTAATTTGTATTTATGTTATAGAACAAATATTGGCTTGCGATGAGCCAATGAAGGAGTTACTATGGTAAGAAGTGACTCCTAAAGTATTTTATACGGAATAATAAGTCGTGCCCACGCCTTATGCGAAAACCTTTTCTGGTCTTGCCATATTTGAATGCATGATTCTATAAATACAAGCATTTGAATGATATGATGCTTATGTGTGCATGAGTACATGAAAGTGGGTATATGTGTCATATGTTATTATATGTGACATGATTTACATGATTACATGTATATGAGATATGTGATACTAAATTACATGAATATATGAAAATACAATACACGCTAGGTGGTATTGACATAAGTGACTATATGATCATAAACTATGTAAAATAACAAAGACTTATGTGATAACAAGAGAAACTGATATAAACTAGGTGGTATGGATATAAATGATAAGTTAAACGACATTGATATATGAGATTATGAACATGTGGATATACGTCTAGTTGAAGTTATAAATTACATGAGTTAGATATATAAGAACTGGTATAACCAATTTATGAGATTAAATGAAAAGTGAGATAAGTTAAATAACATTGACCTATAACATTGACCTATAGGACAATATGACAATAATATATAAATTAGGAGACATTGACAGAAGTGATTATACGAACATGTAAGATAAGCTTTATGGGGAAGAGTTATGGGCTTAAATGAACATATAATATATGAGTCATATGGTAAAGATCTATGAAGCTATAGGAAAATGTTATGGGATCTATGTGATGATAAGTTATGAGAATATATATAGGTAACAAGCTATGTGAAATTGAATTAAGTGAATATATGAAACTAGAATATAATTAATGTGATATGAGTGATTATGTAAAACTGTGAGATAAGTTATAGGGCATTGATATACGAACTATATGAAAGTATGTACATGAATATATGTATAAATTTATATGTTATTCTATGTGTTATGAGATGTATATATGAACATATGTGAACAAGATATGACATACGTACATGAACAAATGAGAAATGATATAAGGCATATGAAATGATCTATATGATTACATGTAATACGTGATTACATGCACTTGTGATATATTTTATATGACACGGACCTATGTGATTACGTGAGAAATAATATAAGCTATGTGACTATGTGAACATGTGAATATGTGTTTATGAGAAGACATAAGAACAATATATAAGCCATGCGACATGTGAATCATATGAAAATGTGCTACGTGTAAGTGAACCATGTGCCTATATGAATATGTGAAATGATATAAATGATAATGCCCATATTATGTGATATGAGATCTAAGGGTATAGTTGGCATGCCAAGAGTCGAGGATTAAAGTGGTCCTTCGGGACAAGTGTTCAGCGCCCCTAGTGGGAATTTATACGAGCTGTGGTGATAGCATATATGCACAACCTCAGTGTACTCGCATACTTTGAGTTCTCAGTAATGTACATGGGCCTATAAAAGATATCAAAAGTGTTTGCATTATTATATGATATCATGTTATTATCGTTTACACTGAATCACATGTGTATATGAGCTAATAAAAGAGAAAACATAAATACACTGTATATGATGTATATGCTTTATTATATGAAATATGTTACAAGATTTATATGTGATACTATGTGTATTGCTGAGTGAAATGTATTACATGATAATGATATACAGAAATGATAAGTACAAGATCATAGGATAAATGGGTTAATGATAATGATAGAGATCATGATAATGATAGAGATGTTGATCATGATGGTATATGCGCATGTATGCATTTTGTTATATGAAATGTTTTATAGTTTTTATTACATGTTTTATATGCCTCACTAAGTCAACGACTTAGCGTGTGATTGTTTTCACATGTAGGTTTCGAGAAGAAGAAGAAGTAAAGTTAAGCAAGACATGTCAGTTTCTCCTTTCCAAAGATCAGATCAGAAAATAATTGAATACTATGTATTTTGCAATATTGATAGTGGTTGTCATGTAAATAAAGATTTGAATACGATATGCTTTAATCGGTTTTGTAAAATCATGTGATTGTATTTTTATGTAATTATTTAGTTGCATTGGTAAAAGTTTTAAAATTATTCACTATTTTATACAAGTAAATGTTTAGAAATGTCAATGTGACACCTCGAATTCGTGTTCGAGTCGGGTACAGGTTGGGGGTGTTACATTGAGAATTTTTTTTATTATTCATATTTTTTAATTTTCAAGGAATAAAAAATTTGTCTCTAAAAATAAAAATAAAATAAAACTCACATTAGAATTGACATGTACGAACATAATATTATTGTTAAATAAAATAAATTTCACATTATAATTCATCCCTAGATTGAATGAATCATTTAACAATAACATTTTCAATTACTTTGTTTAATATATATTAAAATTTTTTGTAATCTAATTTTTATTTTTAATATTTTTATATTTAATTTTCTTTCTATTTGTATAGTTTAAATTTAAAAATTTTAAAATAAATTTTTCTAAGAAAATCAAATAAGCCCTTTAACTTTTAAAAAATCAAATTGGCCCTCAAACTCGATAAAAAATCAATTTTTCCAATATGCCACATCATCGGCCACTATAGATTGCAACGTCAACACCGTAACGATCAATGACGAAAACCGTTGGTCAAAGAGCCATATTGGATTTGTTTTCTAAGTTTGAGGGCCACATTGGATTGGAAAAAAATACGAGGGCCACATTGATTTTTTTTTCAAAGTACGAGGGCCTCACTTATCTTTTTCCTTTATTTATTTTATTTTTGAATATTTTAAAAAATAAGAAATCGCCTAATTTGGGGAAAAAGATTGGGTTTCCTATTTTTAGACAAGGTTTTGGTGATATGTTTGGAATGATAGTACCTATATATATTATCTTTGGCAAAGCTGAAACGAATTGGCTACCTCCCTTTTACCTGATATCTAAATAGAGATTTCACTAATATGGTTTGAATTCAGTTTAGTTAGGTTTGAATAACAAATGAAAAGAAACAATGGTAATAAATATCAGTTGGTACAATTTAACTCCCCTTTCATAAATTACGTTCAGAAAATTCGATCAATTTAAAATGAAAAGTGATATTCTACCCAACCTATAGCCATCCATTTCCGTCAAAGACAATGCGGTTTATTTGTTCCACTTAGGGTTTAAAGTCCTAACTACATTCAAATTTATGGGAAAAATGTGTTATGTTACTTACTAGAGGAATTGTTATTCTTCCTAGAGCTCATAGGTTCGAGCACCAGCGATTGCAGTAGGGTGATTGAGCGTTCATTGTCAAATACTTGAGAGTATTTAGAACAGATATTACTTTATAATCATATTGGTTTAATAAAAAAATATTCGTGTGATTTTAGTCACAGCCGTGTTTGTAGAGCTTTTATTTCACAATTTTAAATAAAATATTAACTAATTTCTAGTGACATGGCCAAAAAAATATAGAAAAATAAAGTATAACTAATTATTTCTTCTTTGAATTTACTTAAAAAATATTATAAGATACATTTGTTAAATGAAAAGAATAAATTTTATTATTAGTCTGTGTGTTATATGTAAATTGTGAATTTATTTAATATAATCTGCTGATCAATTTTAGTCTTATACCTTTTCATTTTATAATTTTAATAATAATCTTAAACAGTATATAGACAATATGATTAGATTGCACAGAAATATCTATAATTTATGTAAAATACAAAATTATTGTAAAATTTGACTTAACAAATTTACTAATTTTTTTTAGTAATTAAAGAAATGAAAGATTAAACTCTTAACCCTTGCGTCGTCTGTATTCAACTTCAGCCATCCTGGTGGTGGAGTGTCCACTAATCTCTTTTGTATTATATATATGTTGTGATTCATTTCATTTATTTTAATTTGATCAATTTAATTTAAATTTTTAAATTTTAATCTAAATGATACATCATACAAAAAATAATTTAACTAAATTATATAAAAACATAGAAATAAACTAATAATAATAAAATAAATTTTGACTTGAAACTTTTATTAACAATTGATTGGATCAAAACTAAACGTTTAAAAAATAAAAACTAAATATATAATTTATGTATAATAAAAAAAATACAATGACTTTGAATTATGGTGTGTAGCCTTTCTTACGGCCCAAGTGTCAAGTGATATGGGATAAAAAAAAATGTGAAATGGCATGAATATTGAAGTGATTGTTCAAGTGTTTCATCCAGCCTTAATTTCCACATCTAACTAGAAATTGAAATGGTGGCCCAAAATCCTTCTCTTCAGAGAAAGCAAATACAATGGCTATCGACTACCGTAGTTTGTATAGCATGGAAAATAGTATCGTCAACAGCAGAGAAACTGGCGTTAACAATCTCGGCTCCTCCTCCATGAAGAATTAGATTTGTCTGATTGAAAATGAACCGATTACTGTTGGTTTCAGTTGTTAACCCCATCACCAACGAAGAACCCATTTCATGAATCATCGCTACTACTACTAGTCGTATTCTTCCACTTTTCAACTCTCATTAAGCTGTCTTTCTTTTCCTTCATTCTCTCCAAATCCGTCTGCAACTTTTTTATATACTTTTCAGCTGCAGTCATATTTATATAGATTAATTTTTTCATATTTTTTAGGTTTTGTAATTTTTTTAACAAATCCCGAATTTTAAATTATCCTTTTACATCTTGTTATTTTATTCTCTAATTTTCTTATCTTTTTGGATTTTTATATATATTAATTTTAAATTCGTGTATAACTTTTAGATGATGACGTCATATCGTCATCTATCACCGTATCTACTTGTTAGTTGTTATGTGTTCGAGACTTAACAACGTTAGAAAAACATGTAGAGGTAAAATGTTGGAACAGAGGCTACTTACCAAATTAGAAGAAATATCAAGTACAGGAGTCCAAAAAGTAATTAACCCAGGAAAATAATATGTAATCAAAGGAATGTATAAGGAACAAACAGTTAAACACGCAACCGAAAATGTTTATTTTTTTTAACATTTTAGATGTAGTAAAACTTAAAATATTAAGTTTTTAACATTTTACACAACCTAAAATGTTAATTTTAATATTTTCGGTTGAAACCATAAATATTAAAATATATATATATATATATTAGGTTGCAGAAATAACATTTTAAGTTATACTTAACAGAAAATATTAATTTTTTTAACATCTTCAGTTACATCTTTTCATAGCCTTAAATTAGATCGTCATACGGCAAAAAAAAACCCTATAACCTGTATAAAGAACAAAAAAAAAATAAGGCCAATGTAGTGCAGAAAGATGCGGTCCGCTGAAACTGTCCAACGAAATCTGAGGATTTGGCTATGAAAACCGCCAACAAGCACGCGTCAAAATAAAACACAGATTAATATTTGGTAGGGAATAGGGCCGTCCCATTAGAAACCACTCAATAATTAATGTAACCCATACAAAGATTCGGACATTGGCCACCTTATTCAAAGAATTTGTTTTGCTTTTGATCGTTTTACTTTTTAACAAATACAATTAAGAGACGAGTAAAGATATTTCTGCAAGGCGGATGATATTTATATCAATAAATATCAACATTCTTTTGTAAAAGATTAGCTTGACACTGTTATTACTGTAATACTATTGAAAATTATGAATTAGAACATGCTTAAGTGCATCAGTTTAAGGATTATATCTATCTTAGGCATTTTGTAAAAAAACAAAACATTAAAAAAAGATAACATAAAACCCAACTTGATGCATAAAAGCAGCATCAACAGCAGCTTAGAAAACGAAGCTAATTACAATTGGCTGAGTGACACTACACAAGCCAAGTCCAAATAAATATTCATGAGAACTTGGGTTTAAGCATAGGCGAAGCATAGGCATTAGAGTGAGGGTTGTGGGCAGGACCAAGCTTTTGAATCCAATGAGCCAGCCCTTTCTTATGATCTTGGCAGCAACTTGGGTTCGGTACCAGATTCAGGGTCCCATCACGATCCAGCGAGGAATCAAATTGCTCCAACACCTTCACTATCTGCCAAAACTCCAGCCTCTTCTCCGGGTTTAATGACCAACATTGCTCGATTAAAGCTCCCATGGCAGGTGGACAGTCTTTGGGGACAACAGGTCTCAAATTCTACGAAAAACACAGCTTCTGGTATCAGAACTACACATGTAATCACATAAACATTTGCAAATGTCCCAATTTCAGTCAAAGATTGAAGAAATGTGATGCTGCCTTCATATTAAGTATCTATTGTTCACCCAGAATGGTGTTAGATTGATTGTGTAATCTATGCAGCCTAAAATTCGACTGTAAAGATTTCCAATGCAGTCTTATACCACAGTTTTGTGCACCAAGATTTCAATCTTCAGTTAAATCATGCATGCATATTACCTAGAAGCATGAGATTTAGGGTCATACCTTGTTCACAACTGCAAATGCAGCTTGGATAGGATTCATATCCTCATATGGGATTGTTCCGGCAACCATTTCCCACAAGATCAGTCCAAAGCTATACACGTCCACCTTCCTTCCATAAGATTTCTTTTTAATCATTTCAGGTGCCATCCAACGGTAAGTTCCAGGGTCATCTGCCAGCAGATCACAATATGACTCCTCGCAAGCTATACCAAAATCAGCTATTTTCATGTGGAATTCCTGATCAATAAGGATGTTTTCTGGTTTAAGATCACGATGAATGACTCCTTGAGAATGAATGTATTCCATTCCACGAGCAATTTCGACAGCAATAGTAACTAACTTTTTCAATGGAAGAGACTTGTCATCAAGCTTGTGCAAGTATGCCCTTAATGAACCCTCTGACAAATATTCTGTTATAACACAATAAACAGGTGGCTTTCTACATGCTGCTATAAACTGGTTATCAGATCAAGAGATAAAAATAAGA